CTTAAAAAAAAAAAAAAAGTCATTGCCTGTGGGGCCTTCCCTGATGGCACAAGGGTTTATTTAAGTCTCAGCACTATGAAATTATCAGCAGCCACTGCAGCACATCCCCAGCAAGGGAACTGACCCATATGATGCAGCAGACCTTTCCTGTCTTGTCCACTGCTCCTCTCAGCAGTCTATTTCAGTAGATTTGCCTGTTCTGCTCTCCAATCTGTCTCTGGTGACTCCCCTCACCTCCCACACCTCTGGCCTATGCCCCAGTTGTTGTATGCATAAACAAATCCTTTTAAAATATAAAAAGACTCACAGTCCAAGGCTTTTACTAGGGTTTGATCATGAGGATACACTGTTGCTAGCACATACTAAAATTCCACAACAGGTTAAAGCACAGTAAGATGAATCTATCCACAGCCACTGCAACAGGAGTTCAATTCCCAGCCAAGGAGATGACCCACATGATGTGGCAGACCTTTTGTGACCCACCTGCTGCTCACCTCAGCAGTGTATTTCAATCAGCCAGTTCTGCTCCCCACTCTGTCTCTGGTGAATCCTCTCACCCTCATACCCCAGTTCTTGTATGCATCAATAAATAAATCTTAAAAAAATAAAAAACTCCACACTCCTAGAAAGAACATTGATATTCAGCATAAACCACATTTATTGTAGAAATAATTTATGTACAATGACTCATTCTCATCAGTTCTGCAAAAAGTGGGAACCCTCCCTAAATTGCAGTTCCCAAACACCAGAAAACGGCCAACCTTGTGATCAGGCATTTCAAAGATAAACAGAGTTAATTCTTTCTGTACAGCCCCACTGTCCTTCTCTGATAAAGCAATGAACCAGAAGGAGGCATCCCTAGGAACATTAGCCTGGTCCCCAGGTGATGTAGCCCTGTACCTGAGATAGCCACATCTTGTTGGTGACTCTATAGCTATGCAATTCATTAATGCTCAGTGTGGTAGGTTAAGAGTTGCAGGTGCTAATCCATGAAAATTTAATGTTAGTTATATGGTAAAAGGGATTCTGTAGATCTCATTAAGTCAGTGAAATGAGGTAACTATCTAGGATTACCCATGTGTCCATATAAAAGTAATCAGACATATCTCTTTAAGAAAAAGTCCAGAGAACAGAAGATGAAGGATCTCTTCCTCGCATCATTCAAACCTTTTGCTCTCATCACTATATTAGGGGTCACATTCAGAGCAGCTTCCCACCAGTAAGCATAGATTTGCAAGATTTAAATGGCTCGTGTTCAACAAACTAAACAACAATTAAGCTTACTTGAAAAGCTGGTTTCAATCCTACCTCTCCAAACCTTTAAATATACTCAAAAAGAAGCACATACTATCACTTAACCCAAATTGCCCAGTTATTAACAGTAAGAGGAGATTCATCTCTCCACTTTCCACCCACATAGGCAAATGTACTAAAAAATCCTAAGGAATATCATCATAGTCCTTAACTTGGCCCATGTGCTTCTCTTTGCCTTTCTTCTGTTCTTGCTTTCATGACTTTACCAAAACCTAGTAGAAGACAAAATTTTCAAGTCAGTTGACACAGTAACAACCTATGAAGTCATTAGGAAACTGGCATGAAACAGTTTCCCCAACAACTACAAATGGAATTTCATATTTACTTTGAATTAAACATTGCTTTCACTATAACACTAATTCATAGTTATCTGAAGGTATGTATAGGGAAGTACTTACCTGCAGTTCTTTTTCAGTTCTAGAGGCTCCAGGGAAGCTGACGGACTTGTCAAATACATTCTTTAGGTTTTTATGTGTGGATGCAGGACATTTTTTTTTTTTTTACATATTCAACAGTCATCAGGTTACAGATCAGCATTTCAGAAGTCTGAGGAAAGAGATGTTTCTGTTTGTCCTGGACAAGTTTCTTGATAGTAGAAGACTGCATTTCTGTTTCAGTTTCAACAAACGAGGAATCTTTGGACAATAATGAATTATTTTCGTACCCACTTTTCTTATACATTTTCAAATGTGGACATAAGATCACTAAAAAGTGGATGAAAAATATGTCTTCATAGATAACTGAGATATTGTTCTGTCATAATTTTTTTGCTCTGCAGGATGAAAAGTCCACAAGTATATGGCTCTCACCAACTATGACTGTCTAGCTGTCAAAACTGAATATATTGAACATACTCAGATAATCTATTTGTTGTATAGAATATTAAGATATATATTACTTATAACACTATTACCCACAACACAATTGTCTCCATTGTTGCACTTGAAATATTTCAAATATGCTTTCGAAATCAGATTCTCCATCAGACTTTAAAGTACCATCTGTTGTTGATGTTTTCTTCCTAGCCTAAAGGATGCCTAGCTGAAAAAGAGATTTAGGTCCTAGAAGTTCTCATAGATGAGACTAGATGAGGTGGTAGGTAAGATTACTTGCCAGGAAGCATTACAGAAAATGTCTTAGTAAGAGCAGTAAAGGTCAAGTGTAAACACATTAACAACAGAATGGCATATATATGCCTTCCATAGTTATCTGATGCCTCCAGAATATTGTGTGGAAAAGGCAGTATTCAAGAACTGTACATAGGCCTTACCTTACACCTCTACCCCACCTACCTCATCTCAACAGTGATTTTCTGGTCAGGCAGACTAAGATTCTCACTAAAATGAACAGAGGGCCATTGTATAGACGATAAAGATATCAAATGCCAGAATGTTGATAGTTACAGAAACATTTCCCTGGGAGTCAACATTCTTCATGCTATACATAACTTGCTGAAAGTACCATCAGAAGTACATAAGTTGATTAATCACATCAACCACTAGGGTGAATATGGGGCTTCTGACACTTGTAAAAATGTGAACCTCCAAGGCTAGAGGGGTCCTGTCATCTCCTTCTCAAACTTCATCTTCCAAAGCTTCATGGGAGCAAGCACCACCTTCTCATAACTTCCAGCCCCATGAGATCTTAAAGTCCTGGCTTTTGCAAGGTGAGGTCAGGGCTGTCAGAAGGAAGGAAGGAACTAATATGAAGGTTTCTGTGAGAAAGCAGTGGAGGAGCAACAACAGAGACAATATGCATGATGGATGGTGCCACAAGCATTCCTCAATGGGGCTTAACATGTCCCATAACTTATAATTTCCTGAGGTGAATTGTGGTGGACAATACCTCTACATCCCAGACTGGGACTCAGTATGCCCTACTGGGTACAGTTTCCTTCTTCTCCCCCATATTGGAAGACCTAGTTCTATCAACCCCTTAACCAGGACTCTCAGCAACTGCCACATTTGTTTATGAAATTGCCCTGGTTTTGTGATACCCCTATGATAACTTCATTGCACCTCCATGTCACCCCTCACAGGTGAAAACTTTAAATGGAGACCAGAACAAGGCCCAAGGTCTGCTCTCTTCACTATACCTCTGTACTCTTGGAATAATGGGAGACTGGACAGGAAGACTGGATGCCTGTATTCCAGATTCATCTCCCCTATTGCACCATTATGCAATGTTTATAAAACTACAATAGCCCAATGAAGTATAACTACATTTTAGTTAGTTAACAGGAAAATGAGAGCACTATATGCCAGGCCTGTTGACCTCCCTGAATTTTACATATAAAGTGGTTTCTTTAAAAAAATAAGTATCTTCAAAACTATAAAACACGATATTCACAGTCTTGGTTATGGAAGTAAACCAGAGTAGGAAATTAACTAAATTATGACTGAGACAACAGGATTATGTCCCTAAAATAGAATTACCTTTAAATTCAATTTGTAATTAAATATTAACATAGACCAAATCCTTGATATTATAACACAGAGCACAAATCCTCAATGAAATCTTAGTAAACTAAATTCAACAATACATTTAAAGGATTACATAAATCCCACGACCAAGTGGAATTTATTCCAGGGATGCAAGGATGGTTCAGCACAAGTGAATAAATTAACGTAATATACCACATCCAAAAAAAAAAAAAAAAGGGTAGAAACCATATATCAATATGATTCAAAGAAAGTATTTGATAAGATTCAGTATCCATTTATAATAAAAACTCAATAAAATGGGGATAAAAGGAACATGCTTCAATAAAGAAAAGGTTATATATAATAAGCCCACAGCTAACAAATTTCTCTACTGAAAGCTTTTCCTTTAAGATTAGGTATAAGACAAGGAGATCCACTCTCACCACTATTATTTATTAAAGTATTATAAGTCCTACTCAGAGCAATTAGACAGGAAAAAGAAATATAAGTGAATCAGCTAGTGGCCTTATAGCAGGAGTCTTACATGAAAGAAAACACCTGTGCCCTGTGGATTCGGTGCAACTTGGCTGCCTGGTTTGATCCTTTGCATTGCAAATGTATTTGTGCCTTAACCAAGGAGGAGCTAGTGAAGTGGCCTAGTATTGGAGGCACTATTGGAAGATTTTCCCACCTAAGAAAAATACCTGGAAGCTTACGATCCAGCATCTTAGACCTCACATGACCTCTTGGGTTGGCAGTTTCTCACATGACCCTAGGTCCACCAATGAAGGCAGCAATTCCGGCCATATCAAGTCATGTGGGACAATTCACTGATAGTTTGTTCTTGGTCACGCAAGGAACATCTAAGCCAAAACCTTAACATGGAAGTGTCTTGCTACTTTATATCAGAGTTGACAAATTCTCACAGAGTTGGGAGATGCTTTATGAGGAAGGAGATTCTGATGCCCAGGAACTCACAGGATACTTTTAGGGAAAACCTGACATATTCATGGTTTCCATGCCAATCTGCAGAGCCTTTAGGAGCAGTGACTTCAGAGGGACTCTGGAGTGGTGCAGGTGGGAGGGTTGTGTTGTGTGGTGGGTCTCCTTTATGCCTCCTTTATGTCTTCTGCAGCCTGTGGGTGGGCTTAAGCATACTTATTTGACTACATTTAAGCAATGGCCAAGTTGTAAGCTCCTTTTTTTGGAAAGGTCAGGTGCCATGTTGGTTGTATGTTCTGTCGCTACAGATGTGAGCCACCAAATGGGGAGCCTAGGTAGGAGCTCTTTCAGTAATGTTTGATCCAGACCTATTTTGGACTAAAACTGAGAAAACTGGAAGTGCAGGTGCATCCTGGCTCCACTCATTGTATCAAACTCAGGTTGTCGCAACCTTAGTTTTTGCATCTAAACATTTAAGCCCTGGCTTAATGTGCAAACGTTCAGCAAATGTAATTGTCTTAATTGCCTTAAGTATCTTATCTTCCAGACACCACAGGACTTTCTTCCAACAGTATTCACACTTAAGAAAGATTAACCCATTCTCAATGATAGTCAGAGTCTGCTAGGGTAGAGTCTAATTGTTGGTCCCTATTTCTAGTTATAAATATTATACTTTGATGAAAAACCTCTTCCAGTACCTCAAAACCATTTTTAATCTATTTGAAAACATTTGTAGTCTCTAGTCCTAGATGTTTTGGTTTTAAGGAACACAGTGAGGATAAATGTAACAAAGTGGTCTCCAGAAAAAGTGGAGGTTCCAGGCTCCCTGCCCTACCTAAAGGAAGGTGGAGCTGAGCAGGGAGGAGAAAGGACTGAGGAGGAAGGAAGCAGGATGGAAAGCCAGAAGGAGATCTGAGGGAGGCACATGGAAGCAGGTAGACATGTGAAGAACCTGCTCTTTTTTCTTGGTCCTGGACTGGTTGAAACAGATGTAAGTGAGAGTCTCATGGGGAGGTTAACAATGGCAGCTATTATCTTGATTTTGATTTTGCTCTCTTCCTCCCAGACTTGTCTGGCCATTTCTTTTTTAACATTTATTTATGTATACATACATAACTGAGGTCCAGGCCAGAGGTGCGGAGTGGGGGTGGGGGATGGTGAGAGCATTCACCAGAGAGAGTGGGAAGCAGAACAGACAGATGGCAGATGTACTGAAATACACTGCTGAGGGGAGCAGCAGGTGGGTCAGGAGAGATCTGCCACATCAAGTGGGTCACCTCAATAGCTAGAGATCAAACTCATGCTGCAGTGGCTTCATAGTGCCGTGCTTTAACCCACTGTGCCACCAGGGAGGGCTCCTGTCTGGCCATTTCTGACCCTTTTCTATGGGTCTCTGCCAGAAGATGCTCTAGACTTATGGTGGGCTTTCAGGCCTTGCTTTGGGCCAATCCCTTTTGGATAGACTTTTACCCATAATGGGATGTGGTAACTTTGGGTGTTTGATTTAGAAACTATATTCTTTGTCATTTATGTGTTGCACACTAACTATATTAAAGTTCCTTTCCATTAAAGGTCTTAGATGTTTTGTCTTGATACAGTGGATGGCAGGTTTGGGGGTCAGAGGTGCCCCTCTCCCTGTCCTATAACAAAGACAACATGATATTATCCCCTGTTATAAGGCAAAAATTTATTTACACACTAAAAAATTCTGAAATTTCCCTACACTAACACAATTGGGTATATTCCTAGTAAGATATTCTCTACTTCCTAGTAAGATGTACTCCAACTCTACTTAGGAGGCAGGGTAACATGATTCGGCTATTTTTAGTGGTGAGGAAAAGGGAAGAAGAAAGGGAATCCCAAGTAGTACCTTGGGGTATAGTAACATTACGGTTCTTCCATCCCCAAACTGGAAGGGGCAAAGGAGTGTTACCACAACCTCAAAACAGAGAAGACTCTGGGAAAAGCATCTGTCAAGAGCTGAGCTCTTCAGTGAATGGGATACAGACAGCCTGTGAGAACCTTGCAAAGAAGGAGCAATAAAAACCCAGACCTTATTCTCTTTGTTTTCCCATCAATGCCCCTGTTGGGCAATCTACCAAAGTGAGAAGGCAAGAGTGTCATCAGAAAATACCTTCCTGGGCATAGACCAGGGTTGGAGGGAAATAAAAAGTGGATCTC